TACGCATCGTTGATGTATTTTTTCACTTCCACTGTGGCATCAGCTGTAGTATTGTGTATCATCTGGGTTTGATGGATACGAGTATCAAAAAGTTCCCATAAACTGTCCTGTGTTTTCTACTGGATGATGTATTGTTGCAGTAGGCGAGCTGCCGATCACAATACACACATCTCACTTTATTTGGGGTTTCTATATGGAAATGCTCCCACACCACAGATGTACGGCATCTCTTCTAGCCTCCATTTTATCTATCTATCTATCCAAAATCTATCTAGATATGTATCTCTAATCTATCTATGTAATTAAATATATGTATCTACAATCTATCTATGTATTTAGATATGTATATAATATGTATCTATAATCTATGTATTTAGATATGTATCTATAATCTATGTGTCTATAATCTATCTATGTATTTAGATATGTATCTATAAATGTATCTATAATCTATCTATTTATATATGTAGCCTATCTTTAATCTATCTATATATGTATCTATATATTAATCTAGCTGTCTATATATATTTATATATATGTATCTATTAATTTGTCACTATATGTATACTCTGTGTGTCTAGCCCATCAGTCAATGTGTTGTGTAAATTTGAATGTAAGCCTAAATATAACTAAACAAATCGCACTATATCACCAAAAATCCGCTATCTCAAAATCAAACTCCTCTCAAAAAAATCCACGAGGTCAATATGCGTTGATTTCACTTTTATACAGATGTGCGATTTTGTGGTCTGTTTCCGACCGTGTCAATCAAACGCTGATTCGGCGGATCACACCTGATGAAACACTTAGTGAAACACTTCGAGGCTTTGTTTGGCCATAGTCACGTGACATGGGTGTTTTGAATCACGCTTCGAATCAGTAGGCTTGTTTGAGATGCGCCTTGCCTCGCCTGAAATGTAGTCGAGAGTAGGCGGCTGCAGTGAGAGGAGGAGTGAAAAAAGCGCAGGCAAGCCGGACAGATCGCTCTTCTCTTCTGACACCTGTGAGATCAAAGGCGGATATCGCGGATATTCACACTCGTGCAGGTGTTGCTAATAAACTGGATGTAATTTAAGTTTTGTTGCTTGAATATGAAAATAAATATAATGAACAAGACACCCAAAGTACTTATTTAATTCCATTTAAAATAGGCCTACATGTTTATGAATACTTTTTTCTTTAATACAGATATGTGTTTTTATTTTTTATTTTTATTTTAAAAATTACATCACATAGATCGCACTGTCAGAGAGTTTGGGGATATACACACATAATTTATAGACATAAAACATGATATCAGAATTTTAAAATCAAACATTTTAAAAGAGAACAATACATCACGGTTGTTTAAACCAATGAGCAGTAAGCTGTGTCGTCAGCAAGTCGTTTCCCATCATGCTTTTGATCAGCACAGTCGGTGGAGAGCAACTGCGCGCGACTGCAGAATCCGACACGTGCGCCTTGCGGTCGCGAGAGTTTTTTGACACACGTCAGCATGACATCAGAGCAAGGCGGACCGCACTCGGACACATTTCTAACCGGCATGCATCTCGCGCTGATCACCGGTGATCGGTTCTGCGCAGATTTTGCTCATCTCAAACAAGCCTGCGCTTCGGGATCTCGCAAAGCTTCGGAACGACTGTTTCGCGGCAGCCATCCCTACTGCGTATGCTATCATGCATTATGTTCGGGAACTCATGTGCCCCGAAATCGCGAGATGTAGAGGAAAACATTCCACTGTAATTTAAATTAATTAGATTATACATATAATTTGGTAGTAAAAACATAAAGTGTTGCACATTTTATTGGTGCAAAGATGAGTATGGCCTATTTTGTACAACATTTGCAACTGTTTTTATCACTTAATTAGAAGCACCACAATTTTAAATGAGTGTCTTCTGTTAGCTACATAGCAACTACTGAACAGACATGTAGACGTTTATTTTAAAACTCAAAGTTTTAAAAGTATAATAAATAAAAGCTCTGTAAACACTTGGACCAAATAGAGGAAATGCGTCATGCAAGTAGACAAGTGGTCAAGTGCAAAGACCGCAAGTGTGGGTATTTGGACAAGGCAGATCTTTCCCACTGCAGATATCACTGAATCCACCCCAGACACAAATTGGACATTCTGATTTTTGACTTTTAAAATACAATGAATCTCAACAATGGTAACATGCCTCATGCCGCAATGCATGCTGGGAGCCACAATAATATAAAACGTATGGCTCCCAGCATGCATTGCGGCATGAAGCATGTTACCATTGTTGAGATTCATATGCTGATTCTTGATGTCTGTGTCTTGGAAAAAAAAATCCCCATATTGTATTTTAAAAAGTCAAAAATCAGAATGTCCGATCTGTGGCAAGAGAGTATTGTTAGTGAATATAATGTATTAACATCATATAACCACTTTTGGACAGTGATGAGATAAGTGCATTATTCTATTTTTTGTTGTTGAAAACTATATCACCTGATCATCATTGTTTTTGGCTTTCTTTGTAACAAACTACATGTTTTGGTAAAATCTGTTACAAAAACCACAAACTCAGAATAAAAGCCAAGAGTCAAATCTGACCAACTAAAGGAAACACTCATCGTCATAATGGTGATCAAACATTGTCAATAAATCATCAACATCTAAACTTCTGTTAATTCTCAATAAGACCTTCTGTAGAATTAACAGAAATAAAGTCAGTCTGGTTAGTAATAAGTGAAGCTGGTAATGCTGTTTGTGGAGTTGTTTAATCCTCCTCTGCTGAGAACTAGAGATTTAATGTCTTTTGTCTACATTTGATTTCATCTAATGCCGAGTTCAGACTGCACGATTTTAGCCCTGATTTTGGCTCGCCGACAGGTTTTGAGAAATCGCCGACAAATGCCCGAAATCACAGGCAAATCGGTGCTCGTTCACGCGAGTGACAACCACGCAGTGTGAATGAGCAAAGACGCGATCTGAGAGAATCACCGACGAGTCGCCGACGCCCGTGAGATATTTGGCATGCTAAATATCTGGACCTGTCGGCGATTCACAATCCTGCTGTGTGAATGTGTTCTGACTGAAAACTACATCGGCGATGACCGAAAGCCAATGAGAGAGCAAGATACAGGGAGGAGAAGGAGGAGTTATAGACCAGAATATCAGTATTTTAATAGATAGGCCTATATTTACAATTATATTAAACAGAAACAAAGCACAAACATTTTCATGACCAGCAGCAACAGCAGGACATTTGCAAAATTATTTATTTACCCCCAACTCTCTTTGCAAAACACAGTCCTTGCTCCCCTCGTCTTCCCAACCATTTCCTGCATAAACTGTTTATTTATTTTTTCATTTTCGCTACAAATCAGTGCACAGACAATTTGTAGGCTATCATTATTAATAACAAATTCAGTGTCGCGCGAGAACTCCGGTCTCACGCACGCGTGATCTTCCGTTATTTCCTATCACTTCTCGCGTTTGTTTGGTTGTGAAACGTAGTTTGCGGACCAGGCAGAAGTTGTCGGCGATTCTTTCTTTTGTAAAGTCATGCAGTGTGAAACCTCCTGTCGCCGATCCATCGTGCAGTGTGAACACAGCAGCAACTGAATGTTACCCCAGATAGTCATGCAGTGTGAAAACAACAGTGACCCGATTATTTTGAAAATCGTGCAGTCTGAACTCGGCATAAGGCTGTGGCTAGAAGTCAGTTGTAGTTCTTGTGTTTATCTTTTTTTTCTGTTCTTGTTGTTTCTCTTTCCTTCAGTGATTCTGCTTGTTGACAGCAGGTGTTCATCATTAATGCCCAATCATCACTTAATTAATCACTTAGGTATCTCATTAACTTTAACTCTGATTCAGGCCATGTCCACACGGACACGGGTATTTTTATAACCGGAGTTTTTCCTACAGCGTTTTAAAAAAAAATCCCGTCCACACATGCTCGGTCTCTGTCAACATGAAAACGTAAAAACACACAATCAAGCGTGGTCAAGAGCATGCCACGCCAGCAGGCGGCGATATAAACCTTAACCCTAAAGCCACGTTGGCCAATCAGAAGCGCAAATCTGATGTCAAACACAGCTGATAACGGCCCACACTCTGACGTCGCAAGGCAAAAACCCCGGTTTCACTGTCTACACGACAACACTGTAACCGGCGTTTCTGAAAATCCTCACCCTGGCAGGGGCTTTCAAGAATGTTCGGTTTCAGTGTGTTTTCGTGTGGACGAACGGCCGAACCGCGTAAAAAAAAGTCACGGTTATAAAAATACCCGTGTCCGTGTGGACAGGGCCTCAGAGTTATTTTAAGTCTCTGTAGAGTGGGACCAAATGTTCTCTGAGCAGAGTTCATTTAACTCTGGGGATTTTGCTGTGTAGTTGTCGTCCACTCATTAGATTTAGGTCTGTGGTGGCCTCGCAGGTTAGAGAAGGGCGCCGGGGTGTCTGGTCCGAACGTCCAGAACCTACATAGAATGTCATACGCACACACACACAAATAACAGACACTAGCAAATAACAGCTCCCATCAAGGCTGAAGAGAGTCTGAGCTCCTTATTATCAGTTCAGTATACCAAAACATAATGCTAAAACATTCACTCGTTTGGGAGAAAAATAGATAACTGGCATTTACTCCCAAGGAAGGAAATATACTGGAAAGAATACATTTTAATACAACAATTAAAGTTCGATATAGTAACGCTCAATATAGCTTGACCATATGTACAACGAAGAATCATATGTGTCCACGCTGCCTTTAGGACCCTCTACTGATCCCAGAGAAAGGGACAAACGGCCTTGTGGGTTACGTGGCCTTCGTGTCCTGCGTGTACTACGTGCAATCTCAAAGTAAGATTGGAATGCACCTAAAAGAAACTGGTTACTTACATCACATGCATTTAAGAAAATATCATTTCACAAGCACAAAGAATAAAAATGATTATGTGATAATGAATATATTTGATTATTGATTTTTATAAAGGAAGTATATAAGCATTCAGAAGGATATATGATTATAGATGTATTTGAAGAGGCAAGGGATTTTGACCAACCCTTCACTCTGCTCTCGGTGGGACGAATTAGGAGGCGTGCATTGCATTGAAGGGAGCTCTGAAAAGCGGCAGCGCAGCCAAAGGATTAAAACAGATGTGCAAGTGAGCCCACTTAAAGCACTGGGCGGGATAAATGACTCTTGCGCCTGACGCAAATCTAAAATGAGTTGGTCTGAAGTCGCTACATTACTCATGTGGTTTGGGCGTAACGTGAAATAAACCAATCAGAGCGTCATCTCACATTCCCTTTAAAAGCAGGCGCGCTTGTCCCATGGCGGATTGCTATTATAATGGCGGTTTTGCCAGACGCGCGCCAGGAGCGGTTCACAGCCGAGGAGAGCAACGTTCTCGTCAGCGCCGTAAAAGACAGAGAAGTGGTGTTGTTTGGGGACGGAGAAACACACCCAAATTAGCTTCGGTTAAACAGGAGTATAATAATTTGGGTAAATGTGTAAGCTATATGTGTGCCTATTTTTCAATTCTACATGGACACCACAATGATTTCCCTCGTGTGGAATAGTTTTCCTTGTAATTATGTATGGTTTGCAAAAGTGGGAACTGCTGCGTCTGTGTATGAGAGAAGCAAAGTGTGTGTGCGTAGTGCACACACTACATTATGGCCAAGCATGCGCCCCTAAAATAGCATCTGAATAACGCGCCACTGACTTTAGACTTGGTTTTTCCTTTGTGGAGGGAAAAGTCCGCTGTGCGTCGGGTGCAAAATAGGAATGATACATGGGTCAGTGTACAAAGTCAATTGCGCTGGGTGCAAGATAGGGCCCTATATGTAACAATGAGACCAAACTGACAAGACTTGTTGAAAAATAAGCCACTGTTCATTTGTTGTAGGTGTTGATAGTGACATCACTCAGAATGGCTCATCCTCTTCCTCTGATCGTTCTTCTCATGATTCACGGTTAGTCAGTGCAACACTTTAGAAACACCCCAAGATAAATTGGATAATTTTTTTATGCACATGATGCTGCTAAATTGTTCAGGATGAATTCTGTGTTTCAGGGGTTTCTAGTGCTGGTTGGGGTGTGAGTTACAGTCCTTCACACATCTGTGCACTAAAGGACTCAACAGTGATAATGAGATGCACTTATACATACCCTACTGGACATCAGATAAAGGAAGTGTTCTGGACCAAAGATGCTATAAGAGGTGTTGAGCCTCGAGATCTGTCTAATGACACTGAATACAGTCAGAGGCTTCAGTATCTGGGAGATAAACAGCAGAACTGCACCGTCAGACTGAGTCATGTGACACTGAAGGATTCACACATGTACTATTTCAGATTCATCACTGATAAAGACAAATGGACTGGTTATCCAGGAGTGACTCTTACTGTCACAGGTGACTTTGATGAAGTTTATCTCTTCTTCTGTGCATTATGTTGAATAATAATCAGTGTATGACAGCAGCACTAGATCTAATGTGTGTGTTGTGTTCAGATCTTCAGGTGGAGTCTCCTGAGAGAGTGACAGAGGGAGATTCAGTCAGTCTGACATGTAAAAGCAGCTGCGCTCTGACTGACAGAGCAACATTCATCTGGTACAGAAACTCACAGCCATTAACTGAGAGAAGAGACAGAAACAATGAACTCCTGCTGCAGTCAGTCAGAAGAGAGGATTCAGGCAGATATAGCTGTGCTGTAGACGGACACACTCACGTCTCTCCTGCTGTTGAGCTCAATGTCATGTGTGAGTGCAGATTAATTTAGTCTTTTTTTTTAATTAGGAGATTGGGTTTGAATGAGATGATTTAAGGTTTTAATTTTTGTCCTTTTAGACCCTCCAAAGAGTGTCTCAGTGTCCATTAGTCCATCTGGTGTAATAGTGGAGGGAGATTCAGTGACTCTGAACTGCATCAGTGACTCAAACCCTCCTGCAGAAATCCGCTGGTTTAAAGGAGGAACGATTGTAGGATCTGGAAGAATCTTCAGCATCTCAAAGATCAGCTCTGATGACAGTGGAGAATACAAGTGCAAGTCCATCAATGAACATGGAGAGAAATACTCTGATGCTGTGACTTTAAACGTCATGTGTGAGTAAATGATGGTTCAGTCACTATGATGTCAAGTTTAATATGATTGTTAATGGTATAAATGTTTCTCTGTTTTAGACCGTCCCAGGAACGTCTCAGTGTTGATGCGTGGATCTGGTGTAATAGTGGAGGGAGATTCAGTGACTCTGAACTGCATCAGTGACTCAAACCCTCCTGCTCTGAACTTCAGCTGGTTTAAGGAGAATGAAACCTCAGCTGTTGGATCTGGACAGAGTTTCAGTGCACTACAGAGTGGACGCTTCTACTGTCAGGCTCACAATCAACATGGATCTCAGAGATCAGACGCTGTAACCGTCACAGTTAAAGGTAGAGCGGCTCATATACTTATGTCTCTTTCTAAAGTGATTCAAATGAATCTGTTCAGATATTTTACTCTTTTGTCTCAGTTGCAGGACGTCTGGTGATATTATCCATATCCATTGGAGGGGTTTGTGGAGCTGCAGTGATCATTACGATGTTAGTGATTTGGTAAGGTGTATATGTGTGTGTGTGGGTGTGTGTGGGTGTGTGTGTGTGTGTTGGTGTGTGTGTGTGTTGGTGTGTTTGTGTGTGTTGAATTCAGTGAGACATCATGATGAATGTGAGCTAAGGCAAGATTTCCCATCCTATCTTTCCACACTGACAGCTACTCAGTTATGCCGAGTTCAGACTGCAGGATTTTGGCTCGCCGACAGGTTTTGAGAAATCGCAGACAAATGCCCGAAATCACAGGCAAATCGGTGCTTGTTCACACGAATGACAATCACACAGTGTGAATGAGCAAAGACGCGATCTGAGAGAATCGCCGACGAGTCGCCGACGCCCGTGAGATATTTGGCATGCTAAATATCTGGACCTGTCGGCGATTCACAATCCTGCTGTGTGAATGTGTTCTGACTGAAAACTATATCGGCGATGACCGACAGCCAATGAGAGAGCAAGATACAGGGAGGAGGAGGAGGAGTTATAGACCAGAATACCAGTATTTTAATAGATAGGCCTATATTTACAATTATATCAAACAGAAACAAAGCACAAACGTTTGCATGACCAGCAGCAACAGCAGGACATTTGCAAAATTATTGATTTACCCCCAACTCTCTTTGCAAAACACAGTCCTTGCTCCCCTCGTCTTCCCAACCATTTCCTGCATAAACTGTTTGTTTTTTTCATTTTCGCTACAAATCAGTGCACAGACAATTTGTAGGCTCTCATTTTTAATAACAAATTCAGTGTCGCGCGAGAACTCCGGTCTCACGCACGCGCGATCTTCCGTTATTTCCTATCACTTCTCGCGTTTGTTTGGTTGTGAAACGTAGTTTGCGGACCAGGCAGAAGTTGTCGGCGATTCTTTCTTTTGTAAAGTCATGCAGTGTGAAACCTCCTGTCGCCGATCCATCGTGCAGTGTGAACACAGCAGCAACTGAATGTTACCCCAGATAGTCATGCAGTGTGAAAACCACAGTGACCCGATTATTTTGAAAATTGAACTCTGAACTCGGCATTAGTTATTGAATGAGGAAATCTGAAGCTCACATCATTACTGCTTTAAATCCTGAAGATAGACCAGATTTCATCACATTCAAAGTGGCAGTGCCATGTCCTATAGAGAAATACCATTAATTCAAATCATATCTGTGTATTAAACATCACATAGGTTCTGATTGGTTGTAATAGTTTCAAATCATTGTCTTTAAAGGAGAACCAGGTGGATGAAAAAGAGAAATGACACACAGGAGTCTCAGGTGAGTAAAAATAATTTGGTTTTTAGAAGTTTACTGATCAGATAAATTAATTGGTATCTAAAAGATTGAAAGTCTGAATGTAGCAGTGACTTCATCTGGTGAGATGTTTATAGATGTTATTTATTTTGTCTCTATTCTGATTTTTCTTTAATGGCAAAGATGAATCATTCCAGACCTCATCATGACAGACTCCAAGCTCATGATGTTGAATTGAGTGATCCTGTGTATGGGAATGTAACGGTAAGTGTTTCCAACAAAAGACTAGACTCTCTTCACCTTTAGCCAAAATAAATTAAACGCTCAATGTCAGTGAGGAAATATCTATATTAAGTATATGGGAAATTAAATAACACACTCCTGTTTTTACTTTTCCTTCATTCATAAAGGCTGCTCAACTTGATGATTGTAAACCCGAACTGGACTCGTCTCTGTATGAAAATCTTCCAGTAAGTAAAAATACCCACTAGATAGAGACAAAACCCAATCTATCAGCCTTTCCTCTTGACAAATGTTGTTAATGCTTTAATTTAAATATTTAAATACTTTAAATATTTTAAATGTTTTCACCTTCTTTCTTTCTTGTTCTTCTTAACTAGAGGCCTTCATGCATCTCTTTTGTGGAAGGAGCCTTGAATGATTGACAGGAGTGCTATGATGACATGTGACTGAAGTAATTAAGGGATCATTTTATAGATAGATGTGTGATAATGAAAGTAAACGGTTTATGAATTTATGTAAAACTGTATAATCAATAGGTTGTGTTTCTCTTAATGCTTTTTTATGTATGACCATGATCATGTATGTATCTTACTTCATTGAGATTATTAATGTGTTTGACCTTGAGTATCGGTATTGTTCATGTTTCCAATAAAATGCAGAAAAACATAAGGCTCTAGTGTAAAAATGTTGTTGTTTTTTTACTTTTCTGTCATTCAATAAATCAAGAAAAACAGCATAACAAATATTAAAGACCATTAAACTTATAGATGGCTAGAGTTTTTAAATGCTTTTTAAAAATTCCAAGCAATTAGCTTTTCTACAGCTGAACAGAATAGCATGGGGCGCAATTTTGCAATATCTCTGATAAATTAAAAAAGAAGTCTTAACAACGTTTTGTACACAAGGGTCAAATGTCAATGGGGAATCAAAGATCACTCCTAGATTCCTTAATTTCTTCTGGAACTCAAATACAGAACCATCAGAACCACAGAACCAACCAAACAGGCTATAAAAGTGATGTCATAAACATCAAGCGTAGCGTCAGTTCTGTCAGGTCACGTTAGTCAAGCTCGCATCAGTGACTCTCAGCTGATCCACATCTACCTATAGGTATAGGATACGCCGCCTATCACTGTATACATATATAAGCTCCTTCAGTATTATCAGCAGCGATCTCGTTTCTCAGGAGCTGTTACCCTCCTCCCTCCCCAGCTCCTCCCCTCTCAGAAATAAAGGTACAGTGAGGGTACAATTAAGTACTTTAAGGTACAAAATTCACAAATGTGCCAGCAAAGGTACAAACATGTATCCAGCTGAGTACCAAAAAGTACCTTTCCAAAGAAAAGGGGTACACAATGAAATATGTATGGTGAAAGGTACATATAGGTACCCTTTGAAAAGGTACATTGTCATATATAAAGTAATAGTTAAGGCACAACATTCACAAATGTACCATTTAAGGTCCTATCGTGTTCCCATGGGGTACTAAGAAGTACCTGTCGGGTACACATCCTGTAGGGCAGTGTTTCCCAACCCTGTTCCTGGCGGCACACCAACACTGCACGTCTTCTTTGTCTCCCTAATCAAACACACCTGATTCAACTCATCAGCTCATAATCACATGGGTTAATGAGCTGATGAGTTGAATCAGGTGTGTTTGATTAGGGAGACAAAGAAGACGTGCAGTGTTGGTGTGCCGCCAGGAACAGGGTTGGGAAACACTGCTGTAGGGTACAAAAAAGTACCTTATTCAAGTCAAAGGGTACACTTCATGTGGGGTACTAAGAAGTACTTTTCAAGTGACAGGGTACACAATCCTCTGAGCTTATGCGTGCCTTTTCTAAGACTGATAGAGCTTTTGTCATAATTTGTAAACAAGTCTGCCAACGAGAAACGGGTATTTCTCTCTCCCCCACCTCTGCCTGCTGCGCTGTGGCCGTGTGTGTGTGTGACAATCGGCCAACTTGAGGAGTTTAATTCCGAGAAGACAGTTAACCACAGGTTCCCGTTAATATGTGTTGTGATATTTAAACAAACTAACCGTCAACGGCGAAATAAAAGGTACAAAGCAAAAACTCCAGTGTTAAATGAACTCTCCTGTTTCAAGTGTGTTAAATTTAATGAGCTAATTAAGTTTTTTTTATTTTTTATTATATAAACCTAATTAAGTGATTCATTGAGTGATGATTGACAATTATTAAAGACACCTGATGTTAACAAGCAGAATCACTGAAGGAGAAAATCTCATTTTTTAAGACACCGTTATGGTGATCAGTGTTTGCTTTAGTTGGGCTCTTGACTTTTAAACTGATTACTTTAGATTTTGATCGGCTGTTGTATCTCAGTTATATCTGCCAGATGAACAAAGAGAATTGTTGATCTGATGGTTGATGTTTTGACGTGATCATTATTTGATCTGAATCACAAATCTCATTTAGAGAGTTTTTACCTTGTTTATTACAGTAGTCTCTGGTTCTACAGCAAATGGTTTTTAGCATTTGCAATATATTCTAAATAATTTTTTTAAGTTGTTCTGATTAAATGACTTTGAAAATGTATTTATTTAGACACATTGACATCAATAATCAGCCTGTGATTCTCAACAATGGTGACAATAATAAAGCATGTTGCAGTGCATTCTGGGTGCCACCAATCAAAACTCATTCATGGCTCCCATCATACATTGCGGTATGAATAAATCATTATCTGAATTGTTTTAGTAATTCCCTTTACCTAATTGAATATTCTGTTTGTCACCATTGTTGAGACTCATACACTGATTATTGATGTCTGGGTGTGCCTAAAAGGACGATTTTGTTTTATCAGAACAACTTTTTAGAAATCCTATAGATTATTTAGAAATTTCTGGATCTTATGCTGTAGAATCACAGTGATGCTGGAATCAACCATATACATTTAAGTCAGAGATTAGACTCTAAATGAGTTCAGTGATTCAGATCAAATTATGATTATGTCAAAACATGACCAACAGATCAACTTTTCTCTTTCTTCATCTGGCAGTTATTACTCAGAAACAACAGACACGCTAAATCTAATGTTAACAGTTTAAGGTCCAACTAAAGCAAACACTGATCACTATAACGGTGTCTTAAAAAAAAATGATTTTCTCCTTCATGTGTCTTCAATAATGGTCAATCATCACTCAATGAATCACTTAATGAGCTCATTAACTTTAACACTCTTGAGTCTGGAGCCATATTTAAGTCAAGTCAAGTCAAGTCAAGTCATCTTCATTTATATAGCGCTTTTAACAATGGAGATTGTTTCAAAGCAGCTTTACAGAGATAAACATACAATTTACGGTAACAGAGATTGTTTTGGCTTTATAGCGAGTTTGAATAATGGTATTTCCGGCTAAAGTTGGTTTTGAATGATTCACTTCCAGCAAAATTATCATGTGTTATTACATTAGGGGCCACTAAGACGGCGGCGTTCTCTCTAAACAGACTTTAAACGCAAACCTATGACCTGATGGTGTTCACATGCGCATTAAAAATTGATTCTATAG